TAAGATACGGGCAGCTGACTCAGGAGGCGGCTTCCCACCCCGTTTGGCAGTGGCGACTTTGATGTCCCAGAAAAGAAACTTGCCTTTGTCATCTAGGTCTTTGAACAAGATCAAATAGTTGCCAGTAACGATTTCTGCCATCTGAGCCTCCATGGATTGACAGGAAGCATGGTGTGAATTCTTGCTATGAATATTTCTTTCATACATTGTCATTACAAATGTTCACTGAATATCTCAGGGACTACTAATGAAGGTATATGTTACATGGAAAGTATTATATCATAGAAATTACATTTTAGATTATATACTTTAGGGATTGCTGAAGAAGTTAGAACGCAGATCCTACATCCGATAGACCCACGAAAATGTTGGAACTAACAGCTAGTAGCGGAAAACCCATGGAACCAACAGCTTAGAAACCCCTGAAATGGTTCACACCTACATCCTAAGACCAGTGGTACCGACAACTAAAAACCCGTGAGACTGCAGGAACTAGCGGCTAGAAACGGAAGACCCACGGAACCAACAGCTTAGAAACCCGTGAAATTGCTGAAATGCATCCCTACATCCTTAGACCAGTGGTACCGACAACTAAGACCCCGTGAAACTCCTGGAAACCTCAATTGTTAAACTATAGTACCCCATTTTCAGATTTTGGACACCCTAGAGTAATGCTGCAAGCTATTGTTTTGTCCTGGAGCACGTGATCAATCTTATTGATAATGCCAGCAAGGGGAAACCCAACCCATTAGTTAACCCCCCCAACCCTGCGTTGTAACGTCAGATGGGCATGTGATGCAAGTGAACATGAACGTTAATATCCCCACCTCCCCAACCCAGTGACGTAACGTCAGATGTGTATGTGACGCAAGTGAACATGAACGTTAACATCCCCACCCCCCCAACCCAGTGACGTAACGTCAGATGTGCATGGGACGGATAAAATGTATGTTTTCAAAAACGACCCAAACGCTGGCGCGGTTTTCCCCCCGCTGGCATTAACATGTACATATACATTTACATCTGCATCTACATTTACATGTAATATACATTTACATTTAAATAAACACATAGGCACAGAGTCACATAGATGATGGGTCGAAAGATAGATATATCCATGGATAGATAGATACATGCATACATGCATAAATGCATCTATACATAAATACATATATAGATAAATGCATACATGCACAAATGCATACATGCATAAATGCATGCGCGCACACACGGATACATAGACGCGTACGCGCACATGTACATGCATATATATATATATTTATAAATATATATTTACATACGTACGTACGTACGAATGTACATACATACATACATACAGACACACACACACACGCACACAGACATACATACATGCATACATTACATTACATAACACAACATAACATTACATAACATAACATAACATTACATTACATAAGATACACACCTACACACTTACATACTTACATACATGCAAACTTACATACCTACATACTTACATACTTCCATACATACCTACATACATAGATACATACATAAATACATACAAACAAACATACATACATACATACATGAATGCGTACATGCATACATGCATACATGCATACATGCATGCATGCATGCATACATGCATACATGCATACGTGCATGCATGCATGCAAACATGCATACAGCATGCATGCATGCAAACATGCAAACATGCATACATGCATACATGCATACATGCGTACGTACATATATATATATACATACATACACATTAATATTTACATTCTTGTTTGTACATATATCAGTAAATAAATATGTATACACACATATACATACATACATACATATATATATATAAATGCATATATATATATAGATACACATATATATACAAATATATATATACATATACATATTTTTAAGTACATATATTTATATTTACACATGTATATACATACATGTATATACATATATATACATATATATACATATATATATACATATATATATATGCATTTTTATTTATATACATATACATTTATATTTTTACATGTATATTTATATATATATATGTATGTATATATGTATATATATGTAGATTTTTTTAATGCATATATATATATTTACATATATTTACTTATATATACATATATATATATATATACATGTATACATATATATACATATATACATGTATACATATACATATATATATACAGATATATATATACACATATACATGCATATATATATATTTAGCTATATAAACACACACACACATATATATATGTATATATATATAGATACACATGGATATATATTTATATATGTATACATACACACACACAGATATATATGTATATATATATATATACACAGACATGTATGTATACATACAGTATTGGAGGCAGATAGAAAACCTTTGGCATATGGTTTCATTTGTGAAGCAAACAGCACATCCATGCAGCCAGGAGCAGCCAATGCAGGATGAGACAGACGAGGTTGACGACAGGTTTGCCCCTGAAGGTACACTTAAGGCTTTGTTTTCCAGACCTTTGGTCTTCGAACCATTGGTGCAAAATTGCTGCAGCTTGCTAGTAGACACCCAGACTGCAAGCCTTGTTGAATTGCGATGCTCCCTTGTTGGCTCATCTATAATCAAAGCGACATATACTCGGCTGTAAGACAGTTGCAAGTTAGAGTTTCAGACACGGCAGTCATTGGCAGTCTCGCACCTGTTGGAGCACTGGGGCAAGGTAAAGGTATGCGGGGTGGCATACTTTGAATCTCAGACAGCTTGTCATACTTTGAGTTCTTGGAGTAGACAAGGGAGTCTTTCTTCCACGCGCGTGAAAAACCAATGGAATGGACTGCCAGCATTTGCAAGAGGCATGCGGAATTTGTGATTGTAGTTGACGGAAGTTGAGGACGTATTCTAAGTTGCGGACTTGCCCAACAATTTTTTTTTCCTATGGTTTAGTTAGTTGTGGTTTCAGGCCTTCCGCTTGCAATTGCAGCAGCCACCTTTGCGACTGCCAAACTGCGAGTTGTTGGGACCAAAGGTGTCCTGTCCGTGACATGGCCGCAGTTCTTTTTCTTAGAGACAACGGCTCGGGTCCTCTAATCCGCAACTTTGTTCCTGGTTATATCTTGGATCTGGGATCCAGTGGATTTATTTCGTTGAATACTGAGCTGTGGTGCCCCCGCCCCCGGCTTTGGGGTTTCCTCAGCTTTGAGAGCGCAATCAGATTTATCCTTGTCTGAGCGAGGATTGCATCCTAAAGCATGTGAGGAATCTCTTGTGATTTTCTGCTTGTGCCCGCTGTTGTTTCTGTCTTGATTGTTTGAGAGGGTTTCCACCCTGTCTGATTTCTTCGCATTTCTTCGAAAGACCTGTGTGATTCGAGGCTATTGGAGGCGCACTGCGATGTCCAACCGGCTGTGACCGCTCGAGGTGATCTCTGCGGCTTGGTTATACCATGACCTCAGATGCCAGTGGATTTCGATAAAATGGGCGAATTTTACAGCTTCATATAGTCATTCCATGTGATGGGCAAGGTGCGGTGTTAACACTGTGGCATTAAGATAAGACCAGATGGAGCTTGGATGTTGGCATATCAGTTTTCTATTTCCTGTGCGCCAATTCAAAGTTTTCCATGACAATTTGCAATGTGAGGGCCTCACAATAACATACATGTTCAAATGCAGGAGAGAGGTTGGGACTGCTTGAAAATCAGTTGTGCCAGTGTGTTTTGTGGCTGGTTCTTGTCTTCAAGGCATGGTGGCAGTCCGATCTTTGTCTGCAGATACTCTGCTTCTCCGTGAGGCACCAAAGCTTTTTGCGAAGCTCAAAGAGACCGATACCAAAAATTGAACTTATCTTTCAGATTCTTTCAGCATCTTTCAGTTCATGGATTTTTCTTTCTGCTTTTCTTTCTAACATACTGCAGGAGCCTTTAGCAGTTTCCCGATGTGACCCAGAGGAGTGAGTGGGAGGAAATCTGTTGCATCAAAGCACTTATGAGACTGCGCGCACACACATATATATATATATATACATACATACATACATACATACATACATACATGTATATATATATATGATATATGTGCATGTACATATATATATATATATATGTACACATATATATATATGTATATATATATGTATATTATATATATGTACATATATATGTATATACTGTCAATCCAGCATTCACATGTTCCAACCCTTTGCATCCAGACAGCCTGGTCACCCTTGAGAAGTTCCGGATGTGTGCTGACAATGCGGCCCAAAGCGGGTGGGACGTGGCGGGATCGCTTCGAGCCATGAAAACAAGCGTGGCCGCTTGAAGTCTTGGGATTGGCGTGGCAGCCATAGGAATTTCATAGAAGTTGGCGAGGACGCCATAGGTATCAAGGTGAGGACACCTTAGGTTCACAGGTGGACCCGTTACCAATCAATTGAGATTGGTAGCGGAGCCCTGGCCGACATGTCAGGGCAAGCTACTATACCTGATGGGGCAACAGCTGCTTCAGGTGAAGGACAACGCGACAGCGTTCAAACTCAGTTGGCGCAATTGGTGCCGACGTATGACCCGGGAGTGGATAGTGTAGAGACATGGAGTCAAAAGATTCGACTGTTGTTGCAAGCTTGGCCTGAAGGTAAACTGGTTGAGTTAGCCACTCGTATCGTGCTCAACACCAAGGGTTCAGCATTTCAGAAGCTACAGCTTCACCAAACTGAAATTTTCACTGGTGACCGCAAAGGGATTGAGACAATTGTATCACTGGTAGGAGGTTCATTTGGTCAGGTAGAGCTGGAGAAACGTTTCGAGATTGCTGAGAAGGCCTTGTTCAGGTGTGTTCAGAAGCCGGACGAGACAGCAGATTCGTTTTTGGCCCGAGCCGATGTGGCTTGGACAGAACTTCTGGCGAAGAAAATGTCGCTGGCCGAATTGCAGGCCTACATTACTCTGCGGGGTAGCCGATTGACAGGGGAGGACAAAAAGCGAATTCTGGTAGAATCAGGGGCAGAGGACTCTGGTGAATTGAAGATGACACGTGTTTCTGCTGCAGTTCGCATGTTAGGATCCTCTTTCTTTCAAGAATATGCTTTTGGGAAGAAGGACAAGTCTCTCAAAACATATGACAACACTGCATTTGTGGCTGAAGAATGCGATGATCAACATGATGATGGCTCAAGGTTTGGAGAGGATTGGTATGAGGATGAGATTGATCCTAGCTTACATGATGATGAAGACGCAGCCTTGATTGTGCAGTTCGAAAATGCAGTAGTCGACAGTGTACAGGAAGATCGAGAATTGTCAGCCTTTTTCTCGTCATACCAAGAGGCCAGAAAACGCCTTGTGGAGAAGACTCGCTCTAGAGGTTTCTGGAGTAGTGGCAAAGGCAAGGGTTCGTTTGGCAAGAAAGGTTTTGGCAAGCAAAAGGGAAAAGGGTTTCGATACAAATCTCTGGCACAAAGGATTGCTGAGAGCGCCTGCCGACGCTGTGGAGCGACCGGTCATTGGAAGGCCGAATGCCCTCTGAACCAAGCCTCGAGCAGTGATGGTAAGAATGTGGTGCCCACCTCAGTAGTCATAGACCATGAAGCAGCCGCCGTTGCCGTTGTCGAGCCCAATGATGACACCGGCATAGCCAGCTTTCTGGATGACATGGAACCATGGCACGACCCAACTGAAACTCGGAACAACATGGAATGGTGTTTTGGGGTAATAAGTGGGATGTCAAGGGGTAATCGGTTTACTGAGGGGCTAAAATATAAACTGTCAGGGGTGATGTCCAACACGCCCAGGAAGTTGTCTCCAACAAGTAAGCTGCGTGAGAGCCGACCAACCCTGGTCAAGCCGATTTGCCAAGTTGATGCATCCGCCGAGTGTCACAGCTTGTTCTGCTCTACCGGAACCACCGGTGTTGTCGATCTAGGTGCATCACAATCAGTAATTGGTAGTGACCAGTTGAAAGAATTGTTGGAACAGTTGCAACCTCAGATCCGAAGCCAGCTCAAGCGCCAACAGGTAGACCTGATTTTTCGTTTTGGCAATCATCAGACTCTGCAGAGCAAGGTGGCAGTTCATTTTCCTTTGCATGGACAATGGTTCCGTGTCGCAGTGGTGCCGGGTAAGACACCTTTCCTCCTCTCGAGCAATTTCCTGCAGACCATTCAAGCTGTGATTGATGCCAGTGAATGCACACTTTGGAGTAAGGTCCTCAAGCGATATATCCCTGTGTATCATAATGAAAAGAACTTAATGATGATGAATATAAATGATTTATGGGGGAAAACGCAAGAGAGCACCATTTGCCAAGCTGAAGCACAGACACCAATGGCAGGTCGACCGACTAGCTCTGGTGATGAATTCTCCATGAAGGGTGCACCCGATTGCCTTGTGAACGGAAAGAATGAGAGTGAGCTTCAACAGTTGGAAGCCGACGTAAGGTCATCATGTCAAGCCCATATCACCAAGGTAGAAGGCAAACAGGTCCATGAAAAGCAGTGTCAACCACATCGTCAGCAGGGATCAGAGTCAGAACCAGCCCAGCCGTCTGCGTCAGAAAGATCGTCAGCAGCATCCGGAAGCTCAAACGTGTCTCCCTGTGCAATACCGTGCAAGCCCCGACGCCATGGCCTTGCACAAGCAGTTCCAAGCTTACCTGGGAAAGAACCAGGTGGAGGATATCGAGAAGATTCCTTTGGCCACATTGGCCGAGACAAAGATCGATTTTGGCAAGGCCAAGGTCAATCAGACATTTGCTCAGGCCTTTCAAGACAAGGACTGGACCAACTACATGCTGACTCGTTTCGAGGACAGCGAGAAGCTGTCTCATCGCCGTTTCTTCCAGTATGTCAAATTGATGATCCAAGAGGATTTCCCGACCTCGACAAAGAGTGTCAAGACCAAAGAGTGCAGCAAGAAAAAGGAGGAGAGTCATCGAATCAGTCACAGCATGGCCAAACCAGTGGACGAGGAGGAGGATTCCGAGTGGGAGCAAATGTCAGGGATCAAGTCAAACCAAACCGAGATGGAGAGCCGAATGGGGCGTGTGGAAGAAGCTCTGGCACAGGTGATCTCACACCTTCAGCAGCTGTCGACACAAGGACTTCTGATTCAGCCAAAGACCGAGTCATAGGACAATTCAGCCTAGCTGCCGAAAGTATGATTGCATCCCAGAATGATGGCAAGGGTTGTGAGGAAATACCAATTGAACTGATGGACTTTGAATTTGCGTCATCAACCAACGAAGTTCCCACTTTTCACAAAGAGTGTCAAAGATTGATTCAGAGTCTTCGCAAAGAATTGTCCAGTGTTCAACAAATCATCAAGCCAACAGGGAAAAAGATGAAGCTTTATGAAATCATGTGTGGATCCGAAAGTGAATTGACAAAACAATGTCACAACCTGGGAATGCAAGCACGAAGGTTTGGGATGTTTTCTGGCGATCTGAGCACACCATCAGGTCGAAGAAAGTTGTTTGCATATTTGTGCG